CAATCAAAATTTAAGCTAAAACGGATCTCAGACTCACAGCTTGATAAAAAACTAATCTACTCCAACTTTTTTTGACGAAAGAGCAAAAGCAAATAAAAAAAGTCAACTTTCTTCCACCAATGGTCTTTAGTAGTAACTGACCACGTACAGAGCTTATTAGATGATTGAATGGCTTGCTTGTTTATCGTATATTAAAACACACGACGTTTTCTGAATAAAGTATATTGAATCTCACAAAGTCGTACGCGTCCAATACTTGAAAACAATAAAAAGGCATTGGACCAATCCGATCGGAGTACAGAGAACAGACAAAAAAAGGCAGTGGGATGGGACGGTAGAAAAGGATGGAAACCAAATCGACGAAATAACGCCGGCCATTTTGTCACCTCGAACATCTGCCGCGACGCTCTCCCTCCTCGTGCAGAAGGTGCAAACAGCCGCACGAATTTCACATCCCCAACACGCGTGAATTTTTTTTTTGTTTGTTTGCTACAGCCTCTTTCTCTCTGAACATCATACACGTGGTTATGGAAATACGCCAGGTATGCACCGGTGGTGGACACTCGTCAAAAGGCTCTCGCGACGAAAGCGCGATTCACCGGAGTAGAGCAAAATTTTGTAATGCCATACACAGAAACGAGCTGCAGAGGCCCTTGCAAAGCCGAACCCCTTTATGCCCGTCTTCTGCGAACTGCAGCTAACGACTCATCGGAGGGGCCCTTTACTGCTCCACTGTTGGTTTATCTACATGTGTTTTTACAGGTCAAAATCTTGGAGTCTTGCCGTCGCGACGAATCTTGGCCAAAGATCGTTTTCGAGCACTAATGGGAGTTAGAGCTTTTGAAAAGCCCTACACGTACACGTTCTCCAGGCGGTGCATACAAGTAATTACGGAAGCACAAAAAAAAAGAAACCAAATGAGCTCCCAAAATCTAAATGGTCATTCGGTCCATTTGCCGCCAATAATGGCACCCGTCGTCGAGTGAAGGGCTCAGCGTTGCGTTGCAGGGCCATTGTGCTTTAAACGCCCTGACGCAACTGTCGACCAATAAGCAAGCCAGAATAAGAAAAAGTTACGAGGTAAGCGGATGATCGACAAATCTCTTGCAAAAAGATAACAAAACCAAAAAAAAAAAGTGCAGGGAGGAGGAGGGAAAAACCAACACAAAACCGGGCACCACTCACGTTGACAAATTGGGACACGGCGGGAGCAGTCCTTGACGTGCGGCGTCTCTCCTCCTCCCCCCTTTTTGAGCGGGAATGCATCTCTCCAGGTAAATCCTCTTAGGCCGCGTAAAGAGGCCCCAAAGCGTCCGGGGGTTTGGGACCGCTTGGCAGTTCATTGTCGCCTCCTCGAGGGAACGTCGACGCTTTAAAAGGGGGCACATGTAGAGGGGCAGGGAGGGGGGTGGAGTAGGGCCACACGCTGCTGTCCCGTATGTGCAGCGTGATGCCATTGTCGCAAGGAGAGCCGCTCAGTGGGAAATCGGATTATGCACGTGGCCAGTTTTTCGTTTGTCCGTGCGTTTAAGCTAGTGAATGCACACACATATACTTATACCATACGGGGAAATAAATATTTTCGCTGTATCCATTACGTAATGCCTGCTGTTGGTGATCAATAGCTTGGGTGATTTGTTGCCGAGCAATGTTCTTTTTTTTTTGTTTTTTTTTTTTTTGTTGTTGTACGCGAACGTGTGTTTACCTTATTTCGAGGATGTGGAATGGAAGGACAATGTCAGTCGAGTGGATGGGTGAATGACAAAATTTTTCGTTGATTCGAATGCTGGTAAAGAAGTGAAAATATAACGAGGCGCGATTTTATCCCATTGGTACTCGACTAAATTAACAGATAACGATCAAACGCGTATACATGTATGTACGTCTGGGGCTTTTAATCTCAGTTATACCGAATCCCCAATTGACGCGTCGGGCAGGGTTTTAAAAATATCATACTTCCTGATTGTGAGTTTAAATATTGTGTAAAAAGAATTATTATCTCTTCTTTTATCCACGTCTTGTCAAGAGTATAGAGGTACGAGTAGCAATGACCCGGGTGCCCGGGGGTGAGAAAAAAAAAAAAAAAAAAGTGTCATCGCGGGGATGTGACGGGACAGGAAGGAAAAAAGAAGAAGAGCCGAGGAGGGAAAGATTTTTCCGTAACCCCGAGAAAAACAGGATGAAATCGGGTGACGGTAAATAGAGGGGGGGAGGAGGGAGAGGAAATGGGCATCAAGTTGCGCATCCCACGCATCCTGTCAAGTGTAGCGGAGACTGGAGCACACGGTGTACAAAGGAGGATCGGATAAATAATTGGCTCTCGGCTGGGAGGACGGGGGACGCAGGTCCCTTTTGATCAGGAGAGTTCGCGTGGAACACGCGAGGGTATGGCAGTTTGTTGTTAGGAGCGGAGGGATGATACTCGATACGGTTTTTTTTTTTTTTTTTGCTCTCCTGTCATTGATTTTCGTTCGTCGTTACCCCTCGGTCGAGGACAAACGAGTCACGAGGTGCCATGCGAGGATGGCTCGGAAAAAGCCAGTGGACCTGTCGATCCTGCTGAAGGATGGTTGATTTTTTTTTCAATACATCCGATGAAAAACAAAGAAAAAAATTTCGTGCTACGAACACCACGTGTTTGTTTTTTTCGAACCAGAGGCGAATCTCCCAGACACAAACTAATCATTTCATTTCTACTATATAATATGATGACCTATTTTATTGACGAAACATTACTGAGACTCCTTAAAGTCATGACGTGGATGTAATTAAGTAATTTTTATGGGCACTTAAAACTGTTGGCACATAAATTTCTCTGTCCCGGCTGCGAAAATCCGATATTGATTCCGATGGAGGAACATCGAGAAAATGCCGCAAAACTATTTCAGGCGAAAAACCAAAAACACCCGAGTCATTGATAATGAGAATTAAAAATTGACTTTTAATTTTGATACTCATCCCGTGTAACATGTAAAAAGGGTTGAGGAAAAAAAATTCATCCCCGCAATCCGAGAAAATAAAGTCGAGAAGTCATTTTTCAAATCGACAGGGCCAACGGAGCAGGTGAGTTTTTGCCGAGAGGAAACAACAAACTTTGAGACGATGACGACGCAATTGTCCGGGCCTGCAGAGGACAATAATGGAGAAAAAAAAAAAAAATGAGCAAGATGAGCGCTGCAGATTATCCAGAAGCACGCGATCGGAGATTAATTTTTCCCGGCTCTCGATTAATAATCCAAGCGCGTACGTAACATAAGCAAGACTCTTTGGAGGAAACAGGGGTAGGGGGAGCGCGGATTTAATTACTTTTTTACTCCGACTCGTAAATCATCGCCGCTTCTGGGGGGGAGAAGGGCCGCCGCGACTTGGTCGTAAAACAAAAATTTCTTGGCGCGGAGCCGTCCCTCCTTTTTTTTCCCTCTTCGAGCGCCGCGTTCGCCTTTAAAACTAGCGCATAATAATAATAATAATGCGAAAAAAGAAGGCCCCGAAGAAAAAAAGGACAAGTGAGAGGGGGCTGGGGAGGAGAGAGAGAGAGAGAGAGCACGTGTTGGCTGCATCAGCGGCAGCGAAAGAGCCGTCCGTGAAAGGCAAAGCGAGAGGCGGCCTCGTCGTGCGTGCTTGTACAAGTGGAGTGGCGCATTGTCGATTCCGTCAGAAGCGGATCGGATTATCCGGAGATCGGGGCCGGCGGGGGATTCCGCTCGAGGGACCCACGAAAAACGGGACGCGACGGGAAGCGCATACATTATAATGCGGTACAGGTAGCCCGGAAGCGCGAGTTCCGCATTGTGTGCCAATGTCCCTTTTTGGACACGTCACGAGGATTTCGCGCTACAATTGCTAACTTAGCTTCCCCGGGGTGGAATACATGTGACAGTCGGTAAAAGCACGCACTCGAGGATTACAATGGGCTTTTTGGGGGTAATGTTGTTAACTAATCGGGCCTTTGACGGGGCACCTTTGGCAAATATTTTTTAACGAGGATTAGTGGACGGTGGAGGAGCTCTCCGCTCAAATGCTCGGACGAGCCTGGAGGAGCGGTAACTGTGCCAGAGTGCCGGGATTGTGAAAATCGAGAGGGCCAAAGTGGGCTCTTACGGGCCTACGATGACGATCGAATATTTTTGAGCGCTTGGGTAAATACGTACACTCCCTCGAGCAGCGGGTAATGAGCGGTATCGAAAAGATGGTCCGCACAAGAGTGGCCGGGGTATAATTGACGTGAACTCGTTGAGTTAAGTGTACATGGTCTACTATGTTGTAAGAGGTGTGGAAATAGGCGTTAGCTAGTAATAATTGAAAAACACCACTATAAGGCATGCCCATTGTATGGTAAGTAACGCAAAGCGCTAGTCATTCGCGTTTAACTCGCATCGCGTACAGTCTCATTTACATTACACATTGTTGCCACACGAATTTTCCAACTTTCACGATACCCCCTGGATTTTTCACGAGATAAGTACTCCGCGATGACCAAGAGGTGTGGAATTCGACAGAGTCGGTTGACAATGCATTTACGGCGAAAAAGTGCGAATCAGCCACCAAGGCCGAGCCGACGAGGGTTTATCTCTCGGGTTCCTCGAAGGGCCCTTCGAAGGCTTGGACGAAAAATCGCCAGAGTCGAAGGACACTAATGGGAAACCCGCAACTTCCCTGGAAGGAAAACACGGTCCCATTGTCCTGCATTGTCATCCCGAAGGATCGCGGCTTTGACGATTGTGTGCGTATTTACAGGTGGTCAGAGCCGACAGCAGCCTGCCTTGACCCGACGTCGCTAAAGGGATTAAGATGTCTATCGGGGTAATTGACCTGTCACTCCTGCGGTGACTCGCGGCCCTTTTTCCCCCTCTGATCCTTCTCCGCGACAAAATCTACCACTGCAGTGTTGTTTTTTTGTTCCTTGCACATGCAACCAGCGCAATCAAGTATTGTTAGGAGAAAAAAAAAAAAAAAAAAAAAACCCCACGGGAGCCAAGAAGGAAGGAGAATCGACTCACCACGTGCCCGTGAACCGGTGACTTGCTGATGGACTGTATCTGGGGGTAGAGCTGACTGGCAGCCACCGGTGTCATGTCCGTCAGCATCGTATTCACGCCGATGCTCGAGTCCGCCCTTTCAGCGTCTTTGGCCGATCGTTTCAACCTCCCCCCGCCGCGGACTGTCCTTTCTCGTACCTTTTGGTGCACTCGCGCGCGAGCCCCTCTGTTTATACGTCACTGTTACGGGGCACCAGCGGGGCCCATGTGACTCGCGTGTCCGACGGCGCGACGCGCGCACCGATTTCTCGCCCTTGCGTGGATCCTGATGAAAAATCGGCCCGACAACTGTGGACCCAAGACGAACGAACCAACAGCACGGACGTCTCCTGTCCTCCCTTTTTCGTCCTGGCCCTCCCAAAAAAAAAAAAACTCACTGCCCGATATTGTCGTGGAAGCTCCCAGCGAGGGGGAGCAAAAAATGAAAAAATCGGCACAGCAGCGAAAATAAAAGCTTATCTGCGACGTGTACAGCGTTGCATCGAGATGGGAACCGGTTAACGTGATTCCCGCTCTTCGCCCCGTGACAGACTGCCGAGCGGCCGATCCTCGGGGCCGCGCCGCTTCTCCCCCCTCCCCGGTCTCTCTCTTCTGTTTTTCTCCTCCTTCGGGGCTCTCTTTCGCCCGGCGCTTCTCCCGCAGCGTAGCGTTCGGTGGATCGTAGTAGGGCACGAAGAGAGGGTACGTCCTGCACGTTGGCTGGTAGAAGGGAGCAGCAGCGGCGTGTGCGCGGGGGCAAAAAAGGGGCCGAGCTCGGGGAGGCGGGCCACGGGCTGGCCGGTCGACGCCCCCTTGGACGCCCCTGGATTTTGTCGAGCCCACACCGGGGGATCCGCGTGCGCGCGTGTTGTGTGTGTATACACGAGCTCTCGAGGAGACGTGTATCCCCTCCATCGTCGACCCGGGGCAACCTGGGCCTCGTCCGTGTGGCCGTGCATGTATTACGTATACATGTTGGGTCGTTGCACACTATCAGAGCGCCGTGGCGCTCTCTGCTGCTGATAGCTGGGGCTTCGAGTGTGCGCGACGCGGTGGAAAGGAGTCCCACGTATGTGGAATGCGGAAAGGGGTGGATCTTTTTTTTTCGAGGGGGTCGGGGGTGGAAAAAGGGTTTGCTAGCGTGTAGATACGTAAATGAGTTTGTTTTACCTTTTTTTTAAGAAAAGTCAAAATTACGAATTTGTCACTATTTGGACTCTTTTGATTAATTACTACGTCAGGAGGCTATTATTTTTATTCATTCAGATGACCATTTGTGAGAAAGTCAAGGTGAATATACTTTTACATGATAGAATCATAAATTTCAGGATTCGGTAAGGACAGTAGAAGCCAACAGCAGTGCAAAAAGCCACTCTTTTTTAATAAATTGAAATCATTTGTACTAGGTAATTAATTACTGGTCACCATTCATCAGTGACTTTTCGCTTGTAAAAACTCACGAGACGGAATGTGATGAAATCTTGAAACAAAACGTTTGTTGAGAAAAAAAAAAAAAATTATAGATTGGAAGAGAAAGAGTACGAGTAAAGGAGAAGTGAGAACAAGCGGTTGTTGGCTCGGGTCGACGAAAAAAAAAGGGGGGAAGGAAAAATATACAACAGACGGATATACAGAGAAGGAAGAGGGAGAGAGGCACGCGCGTGCTCGCGCCAACCAACCGCGAGAGGTCTCTTTCGTCCAGCTTTTATGTGCTTCACCTGTCCCTTTTTTTTTTTTTTTTTTTTTGCTCCAGTCGTCCGGGAAATTTTACGCTTTTTCGCAAGTGATTCACGGATAACTCGATTATTCACTTTGTCGCTTCGATCATCCGAGACCAATTGTAATTCCTTGCCTTTTACTCTTACTCCTATCAACACGATACTTGTATATATTTTTTTTTTTTTTCTTCATTCTCACGAAAGGGTTGGATGAACTGCTAATTTTACGGTAAAATGCAGTAAATCGTTGTACATGCGTCCAAATGTTTTATGCATTACAAATATATCGCGCATATCTTAGATTTTTTTCAAATCCTCGTACCGTGAGTCGAGTAAAAATGTTTGAACAACCAAACAGTGGGTAACTTAAAATAAAACTGAGAACATTTTTTTTACCTCTCAACATGATGAAATGAGCATAGGTTTAACGTAAATTACTGTTGGGTGTGTATATTATGCGTTTTCGAGGTAATTGTATGAAATTACGGAAGAAAACAAGTTAATTATATAATTTACAATTCCATCGCGGAGCATTACGTACATTAGTTGTATACGTCTGACTTGTGTTTCGAATAAGAATAAAAAGTACCCGCAAAATCAATTTTTCCAAATTTCACTCGATGAACGCAGAAAAGGGTAAAAGTATTACTGACCTCCCTTGGGAGCGTAACCCACGGGTGATTATAGACGTATAGAGTTTGCGTGAAATCGCACGAGCCGGTGTTGCGTGCACAACTCACACGCGTGTATGTATATTTATAACGTGCTCTTGCGACAAGCGCTCAAAAGTCGACCGGATAGCTTTGCCAGCGAAGCGGAGTCTGCACACATTACCCATTCGAGATCGCATCGCTGCGGATTCTAATGCGTTTTTAATCGGGGACTTTGAATTTCAAATACCTTTCTCTCCGTGTTTTTTTTTCCTACACGCCAAGTGGAACAAGCGCACCAGATCCACTTGTGTGCGTACAAACACGCGCGCGCGACCGAGACGGGGGAAGAGGCCAATTATCTTTCATAACGCCCGTGGCGTAGCACCGCTTCGTTTCCCCCCCCCCCCCCCCCGTTTTTTTTCTTTCCTGGGGACTCGAACCGTTTCAACACTACTCGCGTATTCGAGATGTTATTCTCATCGCGATTGATTAAAAGGCTCAGTTTCGTTTAATACCACGGGGTTCCGAATTAAAATTGCCATCGTGTCCAAATGAGATTAAGCCCCTCCTTTGGAACAATGACCACTTCCTGTGTTTCCTACGTCTATACGTAGATTATACTTACGGAAGCCTGTATCTCGTAGTAATAAAATGCCACCCTCTCGTTTTTCCGATGAAAAGTGTCCAGCCTTTGCGGTAAATCTTTAAACACCTACCCCTTATACTCGGTAGGGGTTGATCAGAAAAGCAGATTCTTCCTTTACCAAACAAAAACGAACCGTGTAAAAAAAAAAACACCCAAAGGTAGTATGGAGTATAATATAATACGGTGGTTGCGAGGAGGCGATGATGCGAACATCGCGTGTCACTCGCCGATACGTTACACACGTACACGCGCTTTCACCGTGTACCCCCGTTGTGCATGTACACTGGAACTTCTCTTTTCCGTTGTTCGCCGACAAAAGGGGAAAAGGAAGGTGCGATCCCTTTTGCTCGGCGGTGGATAAAAAACGGGGGCTACCCCTACACGGTTGAGAGGGCGGGGGGGGGGGAGAAGATGCACGTGCGGCTGAAAGGTCGAGGTAAGCGCCAAGTTAGCGGACGAGGTTTAGGAGCGAAAGGGCAGCACAATGACCATGGGGTTTGTTCGATGAAGTGGAGGCGGTGGCTGATGGAGGATGCATGTCGAGTTGGTTAATCGAAGGAACCATTCGGAGCTGACTTGGGGGGACGTCATCCCGAGGTCGTGCAATTATTTCTTCTTGAAAATTCGAGGGAAACAGCACTTTGCAGGGAATCTTATACAAGAGTGGAGATTCAGCGAGTATAAGTTGTTCCTACCTGATGTGACCAAGAAAAATCATCGAGGGTTGGATCAATTGCCACGGCATGACTTACCTGCAACAAACAATAAAAAAAGAGAGAAATTAGCCCCACGCGGTATAATAATAATCAATCATATGAACAAAGTACAGGGGCTGTTATCAGAAGCAGTAAAGTGGTCGCGACAAAGTGACAATACTTTAATTTTACGTTGTTCGGCTCGCACCGCAGCTACCGGAGTCATCGCGTGTTGGGCCGGCTATACGTAACCACACGCTTATCCTAAGCTGCGTGCCCCGAAAGCCCTCGAAAGTCGGTGGGGGGAGAAAAAACACCAACAAAGAATTTCCAAAACCCCTCCCAAATTGCTCGCTGAGCAAAAAAAAAAAAAAAAAGAAAGGTCGGGGTGAAAAATGACGTGACGAGCCAGAGCAGTTAGCCACCTACATCCACGTATATATAGCAGCGCACGCGCGCTAAACCTCGGCCTTAACACCACAACGCGGGGATCTCGGAGGGCCGATCGGCGTGATCTATACTTATCGACTTCTGTTGGCCCGCACCCTCTTTCGAGGCATATCCGCACGCGCTGCTCGTCCTCTCTCCACATCGGCTCTCTTCGATGATGCACCGCTGATTGGCAGACACTCCATACGCGCAGAGGTATACGTATATGTATATGCACTCCCCCATACGACCGATGCTCTCGTTCTCGGGGTTGAAATGGAAAATGGGCATCGCAGGGTAAACCGGGGGCGGATAATGACAGGGCGGCCGACGCACACTCCTTTTGTGTGTGCTATGTGGTTGGTGAGAGGGAGGGAGAGGAGGTTTCGCACTCGGGAGTGTACGTGTGCGTTAGCCTTTTAGTTTTCAGCCATGTGGCCATCGAGCGGAGATCTGTACTGCTGTTGCCGCCGCTGATGGACTAATAATTGCTTGAAATCCCGGGGCCTTTCCTTTTTCCTTGCATAGCCTATACACTGCCTTGCATGCATATATAACCCACACCCGTATGGCGAGCTTTACATTTTTTTTTTTTTCTTTTTCTTTTATGGTACTCAAGAGGAGTAGAACAAACTTAATCGTTACTGCACCACAAAAAAACTTATTTGCTCACGGAAAGCGGTGAATCTTTTATCATTTGGATGTATGTGCATTCAACCATGTACATAGTTTCAAGATGGCCCATACATCTCAACATGTCTGCCAGTATAACGAGAAAAACAGCAATTGTCTTTTCGTGAAAAAAAAAAAAAAAAAACGAAGCGTGTTTCCTGCCATTGCAAAGGTAATAACGAACAATCATCAGCAATCGAGCGGTAAACGTCGAGCCGGCAATTTCCAACTCTGTACGCAGCTGTATAATAGAGGGGGGGGAGGGGAAGGCAGCATCGTTAATTCATTGAAAATCCGCGTAGAAAACATCCATATGTCCTACCACACATCGCAATGGGCCCGTGAAAGCGCATCATCGCGAAATTTTCTCGTTACGCGCGCTTATATGCATCCTTCCCTGATATGCAAATAGCCGACCGGAAATGACGTTTACGATGCTGGGATGGACGAAGAAGCATCGCTCAATGGCTGTGCACGCGGTGGGCTCACTCCCACGTTGCTATCCCCCTACTATTTAATGATTACGGACTC